GACCAGGAAGGGAGCCCCCCTTAAACAGCCGTCAAGGAAAGGGGGGAGGGAGGGAGGGACTGGGGGTCCCATCCTGTGCTTCCAGAGATGGAAGGAAAAGGATGCGGAGGTGGGTGAGGTGGGGGGGCGCGTGGAGTGGAGCCCTCCTGGTCACCTAAGAGGGACACCGTGGTGCCCAGTATGGGGGAGTGGAGAGAATGACCCGACTGGGACCCTGGAGAGCAGGGTTCAAATCCCCACTTCCCCAACGGGGAACTCAACAGTGGGGGGAGCTGGGAGTGATAAAGAGATCCCCTTGATAGTCTTATGACTGAAGTTTTATATGGGTCAGCTCCGATTTGACGGCACATACTAATTAAGGTGGGAGTTTGGGAGCTGGGGGGGTGTGTTTTTTTCCCCTCAGGAGAGAGTTGGTGGCACCTCCGGGCAACAGAGGTCCCTCCTGAATTTCTTGCTTGGACTCACCGTTATTCTTATGCCTCTTTCTCCTGGTGCCTCGTTCTATCAGGCAAAAGCCAAAGGGAGACAGAAAAAATACAAAGCAAAACTAAAAAAAGCCAACGAGATGAGGCACCGGAAAGACCAGCTGTTACATTTTTAATGTCGGCTTTTGTGGGTTAATATCCACTTCTTTAGACATACAGGGAAAAATGAAATGCAGAATGAAATATAGAAACCACAAGTAAAACAGCCCAACATTCTTTGGCTTTAAGAAACTGGGGTGTGTAAGATTCTGTATCTCACATGCAGAAATGTATGTTTAGCGCTCAGTTCTACCATACAGTATTTGTAAACATTCTCCCAGAGGCCATAAAGCAGATAATCAGGCAAGAGCAAAAGAGCAGGGTTGGCAGGACCCGTCAAAAACCCCACTTAGACAATGGGGGAAGGGTGTCTGGAAAAAGGTGTGTGGGGGGGGGGAGTATAAAGGTTAGAGAAAGGAGAGCATGATGCTGTTAGAGGAGAAGAGAGGGGAGCAATAAAGGTGGGGAGGAAAGAGGAGAGGGAAACAAGCACCGTGCAGCATCGGTGGCGGTCGGAGCAATGCAGCATCCTCCCGAGCATGACAGAGCGCATGGATGGAGAATGGGGGGGGGAATCCCTCTGCCCCCCCCATCAATCCTCTGTGATTGAGCTTGCTGGGGTTGTGAAAGGTCTATTGTACTTTTATTATTTTGATGTCATTCGTCAGATGTCTTAGAAAGACCAGAGTCTCCTAAAGGGGGGTTGGAAACAATGTGAGATACAGCGGCGTCTGAACGTGCGAGCCCCTCCCGCTAGAGGGCGCCCCTTCGCCTCGATGGAGCCTTTGGGGGCCCTTC